TTGTTTTTGTTGGGCAATGGGAGTTAAGTGACTTGACCAGGGTCACACAGCTAGTAAGTGTTATTTGCCTGAGGCTGGATTTGAACTCAGGTCCTCCAGAATTCAGGGTGGGTGCTGTATCGACCTAGCTACCCCCTGATCTCTTTCTTTATCTGTAAGATGACAGGGTTGAAGGAGATGACTTCTAAGGTCCCTTCTGGCTATAGAGTTATTACCCTTCTTTCCTACTCCAGGCCTTGCTACCTCATACCTCGACTATTTCAGTCGAAAGTCTCCTAGCTTCTACTCCTTCTCCAATTATCCTTCAGGTCACTTGACAGATTAATCTTCTTAAAATGTTTTTTTGCTCAGAAACCTTCGCTGGCTCCTCCTTGTCTATGGCATGACATCATAGAATCATTCCTGATAGTCATAGTTTTGTCTAGTTTGACCCTACCTTACCTATGTTATCGCATATAACTCTCTGGAAGAAACCCTTTCAGTTTGGCTTGTCTCAGTAGACAGCAGGGTGAGGTGAAAAGCGTGCTGCCTCAGGAGTGGGAGGCTCTGCCTAAGTTAAAATTCCAGCTTTGCCTGTGTCATTTTGACCAAGTCATCTCAGTTTTCTGTGCCTCCGTTACCTGATTTGTAAAATGAGGGAACTGCACTAGATGACTTATAGGTTCCCTTCTAATTTCAATGTTCTGTGACTATTCTGTATACTATATTGTATTGTTATTTAACTTTGTATCAGTTCCCCAAATAGATGGTAAGTTGTTTAAGGGTAAGAACTATGTCTTATTCTTCTGCAGTCTAGCACAGTGCTTTGCACATAGTAGGTGCTCAATCTTTGTTGAAAGAAGGAAAGAAAAGATAACCTCTCTGTCTTGTTAAGTTCTGCAGTATCATGGCAAGTAAACTAAGTGAGGGGGTATAATAGATAGAGTGCCAGGCCTGAAGTGAAGAAGACTCATCTGGCTGAGTTCTAGTATGGCCTCAGACACTTGCTAGCTGTGTGACCCTGGGCAAGCCACTTAATTTTGTGTGCCTCAGTCTTCTCATCTGTAAAAGGAGCTGGAGAAGGAAATGGCAAACCATTCCAGTATCTTTGCCCAAAAAAACCTCCGAATGGGGTCATGAAGAGTTGAGCTGACTGAAATGACTGAATACCACCACCACCACCACCACCAAAACCTTTTGAGATTATAATAGAATACGATGGAGACATAGAGCTGGGATCAGGAAACATTGGCTTTCATGATGTTATGATGAAACTCAGAAAACTGAGTAGATAATATTTTATGGCTCTGCGTAGGAAGAACTGAACAGTATTTATTTTTTCCCTCACTAGGATTTGACTAATTAATTATGCAGCCAATTCTCAGTTATCTGCATCCAGATTCTCTTTTGTGGATTATCCATGGTGAATTTTTAACATTGGACTGGCTTTTCCTTACTGCCTCGCCTGAGCCTGAGCTGCCTCCCTCCACTGCCCAGCTGGTGTGAGCTCAAAGAATATTAACTCATTTCAATATTGACCTAAGCGAAACACAATTAGAAAGGCACATTTTCCACAAAAGGGGGAATATAATGAATTCCAAAGCCAAATATAAATGAATTTTTGTTTATCCACTTTGCTACTTCCTTTAAGTAGTATGTGTAATCAAGAGATATATGTGCTAACTGCAGAATAATAATTGAATGCCAATACTGTATAGAAGACTAAATTCAACCTAGTTATTATGCAAGTGATTACTCACAGACCAGACGTAAGGGATAAGAATACTATGTTGTACAGACTTTACCTGTTGCGAGCAAAAGAAAGAGGAAAATTGATTAACTAGTTCAAATGATGTAGACAACAGTTTTGGATAATTCAGACTGAAACCTTTTTTAATGGCAATTACAGACTTATTTTCATTTGGCCTGAATTATCTAGTTAATTACCTCAATTCTCCTCTTTCCTTTGCCTTCAGCTTCAACTCTGAGACAGGTGGTAGTTGTGAGGTCATAGTAAGGGGGAAGTGCTTTGGAAATAGTTATTGATGCAGGGAATTCATCCTGACAGCTGCTGATCTTTGGTTCAGTTGATTTCCCTTTGCAGATGGTTATTGGCAGTTGAAACTGCGTATCTACTGTTGGCTCCCCTATGTAAATTGCATTTACATTTAAATTGTGCATTCTTCCAAAGGATGGGGTAAGTAAATAACTGCAGATTAAACTTTAGTAGTGAAAATTGTGTGGCACCAAACCTATAACTGAAGTGACATCTGGCTTTTACTATTTCAGTTATTTAGGTTTAATAACACCATTTGGCATTAAGGGAGGAAAATTTTTCTCTACATTTTAATGAAAGGAGGAAGCTCTCTGTGTTTGGATACCTTATCATGTTGAATTCCTTGTAGATTGGCATTTGAAGTACTACTTTCCAGGGAATAAAGTGAATAAAATGCCTTTATGAGCCCTGGGAAAAATAAAAAGCAACCTAAGGCTCATGTAGACACAGCCAAACCTAAGTGGAAGAAAGAGCCATTTACGTGGTAAATGTGGAGAAAATAGAGACACAATCCAGATAATTCAGCATCCTTCAATACAAAATCTTCCAGTGAAATATCTTAGCATTGTAGAGCTGGAAAGAACTTCAAGAGATCAGTGCCTGGTACAGTGCCTTCTATGTCCAGGGGTGCCCAGGAGATATTCTTTTGGCTAAAATCATCTATAGTTTAGCCCTTTGTCTCCTTGCTTGATGTGTCATGCTTCAGATATTTCTGCCAAGAAAATATCTTGAAAATGTTTGCATCATCTCAACAGCCCAAGTATTTAATGAAAGCATTTCCACCTGGCAAGTAGCTTTTTGTTGGGAGCACTGCCTGGAAATGTAAACAAATTGCTCATGCATCCTAATAGCTCAAACCTATCATTTATTTGCTTTTATTGAAACAAATGTGATAATTTTGGAAGTCTTTGTCTGGTGGAAATCAATGTTTGACTGTTATCAAGTGTTCACACAAAGAATTTGTTTGTAAACAAACACTTTATTTAGAAACATCCTTAACCATAGCCCTGAAATCATGATCAGAATCACCCTGTGAACATCACTGATGGAGAGCTGAAGACTATTAGTTCTTTTGGTCCTATGGAGTAAATGACCAAATGAGTTGGTAGAAATTTATCATGTAGAGGAGGGTGTCTACTAAAATAGTATAGATTCTATCCTAGTGTGGATAAGATAAGTGAAAACATAACTGCTTTGCTGGCTCTCTACTAACATTTGTATTTGATCTATAACTTTCTGTATTTTTCCTATGCTGGGTTTTTTTGTTTGTTTTGTTTGTTTTGGTTTGGTTTTTGCCTTGTGATTTACTTTTAGCTCATCAGCTTTTCTTAAAAGAGACCTCAATCTAATGGTCTTATCTTTGGCTTTTTTTAACTAGTCTATACAGTAAAACTAATCATACCTATCTGTAGGGATATGGTTAAGAGATCATAAATGTGAAAACTAATAATACTTATCCTACCCATTTGTAGGGATATGGATGAGAGATCACAGATGTGAACTTCTAATCAGGAAACAACTGAATTTGAATAGTGTCTCCAACAGTTAAGCAGTTAAGCAATGGCTCAACATTGTGGAGCCTCATTTTCCTCATCCTTAAAATGGCATTAATTAATAATAAATAATAATACTCTTATTATCAACCGGAAAGCATTATAATAAAGGGAAAGGAATTAGCACCTGCCAGCCACTGTGCTGAGCACTTTTCACAAAAATCTCACTTGATCCTCACAACAACACTGTGAGGTAGGTGCTATTATTATCCCCATTTTACAGTTGAGGAAACTGAGGCAAACAGAAGTTAAGTAACTTCAAGTCACATTTGAATTCACATCTTCCTAAGTTCTGTTTTGAGGAACAATGCAGTAATATAGGTAAAGAGTTCTGCAAACCTTAAAGTACTCTTTCTCAGCTATAGCTGGTGATGCAGTAGATAGACCTTTGAGTTACATCCTCTGAGGTTCAGTGACTTGCTCTGGATTATGGAGCTAGTAAGCACTTGAGATAAGATTTGAATTTATGTCTTCCTGATTGTCATTCCAGCATTTGAGCAGCTATACAGTCCGTGCTTGTCTGTCTTTCACTGTACAAATGCAAAGTATTCTCCTTAATTTTTTTCCATTGTAACCAGAGACCAGCCAACAAGTGACCAGTCTACAGACTTTGCCAACCTCCAAACCATGTGGGGAATTTGGCAAACCTGCTCCCTACACTAGTCTGTCCTTGGCCAGTCCCTTGGTACAAATACCATATTGGTTAATTCTCATACCAGCATGAATACTTATGTTTAAAACATTTTCCTTTTCTTCCTTCCTCTACTTCTATACCACATAGCCAAATTACTCATCCATTGAAATCCCTTATTGATTGTCCAGCCCTTTAGGCTTGTTTGATCATTTCTTCTGTTTTTTTTTAAATTTATTTTTTGGACTCATTTTAGCTAGTGTTTCCCTATTTTCTATGAGTGATATTTATTTTTTATATATGTATATATGTGCACTTTGTTTGTTTCCCATGATAGAATGTAAGCTTCTTGAGTGCAAGGGCTATTTTATTTTTGTCTTTGTATCCCCAGGGTCTAGCATACCCAATGCCTATATGTAGTATGAACAATTAAATGTTTGGAGATTGATTGATAAGTAATGATGATTTTTCTAAATCTTCTGCCTCTTTGCCATAAGATATAATTCAAAGAAACTAATTTCTCCTTCAATTGGAACTTGGAATGAAATTATAAACTTGTTTTCATATCAGTCTGTTGCTATGGAAGTTACTGATGTCACACTGTAAGTATTATGACTATCATAATGTCTAAATAGGCAGAAGACCTGGTTGCTAATAGAAATCCAAGGCAAAAGTCACATAGCTTTGGGGACTTTTAGGCTTTATGAACGGGTAAGTGGATTAATCATCTGATTGGATTCCATTTTAATATTTTTTTCATATTTTTCATTATTTCCTCTAGGCAATTGTCAAGTGTTGCTTTAAACTGATGAGATCTCATTTAGAGTCTGTTTGGGGAGAGCAGGTAAAACAGCAGAAACTGCTTAGCAAGGACAGATGTCCCCAAATGTGCTTGAGCTAGTTTTATATAAACTGAAAAGATCATCAGCATCTTACTTTACTTTTTCTTCAGGGCACCTCCATGACCCTAATAGCTCACAATTAAATAGGAGTGGACATTTTACATTCTTTTCTAACAACTGTGGGGTGATAGTACAAGTATCATTACACTCATTCTATAGCTGAGGAATCTTGGGCTCAAGAGATGTTTGTGATTTGCCCAAGATTGTGCTAGGGACAGTAGACCCACATCTCAAGCAAGGTCCTTTGACCCATAAGTTCAAAGCATTTAATTTGGCTTCTCTACAGTACAAATTAAGCACAGGTTCATTGTAATAATTCCACAAAAATACATGTCAAGAACTCAAGGACTAGTGATTTCTTTCTGATAAGAACTCCAACCATTGATTACTAGTTGCATCTTATGTCACTTATACTCTTTGAATTACTGAGGCTCAGAAAGATTAAGCGACTTGCTCTTGGGTCATTGAGGTAGTCAGCTTCAGAGAGGCTTTGATTCCAAATCTTCAAGTAGGCCTTCCTGATTCCAAATCCAGCACTCTTTCCTTGACTGCCTCAACAATGAACATTGATCAAATGTCTTATTTATTTTTAAACCTTTACCATGTGCAAGTCTTAGAGGGTTTAGAAACAAAAATGAAACAGTTCTTATGCCCAGCTGTTTTATATTCTGACAGGGAATGAGATAAAATAGGGCTGGACTTGGGATTTCACTGATTCAGGGAACTCACAGGTGACAAAATGCCCTTTACCAGTGTAGATTGGTACTTTCTTTGCACCTGAAGAGTCTCAGACAGTTGTTTGGAGCACTAAGAAGTCATATAATCAGAGACGAGACTTGAACCTAGGTCTGACTGGCTCCAACATCAACTTTATTTCACCATGCTGCTTCTCAAGAATAACGATGTTGAAGTGAAATTTAAAAAAAACAAAACCAAACCCCACCTGACTTCAAAAAAGAGAAGTGATAGACGACTTGTTCTGAACTACCGGCTCATTATGCAAAATAGCTCGTAAGATTTTTTTTTCCTTTCTGCTGTTCCTCCTAATTGGACAATGATTGATTACTTATGAAGGCAAATCCTTTTATGGTGTGTAAATTGTCTTGCAGTGATTTTCACTACAATGTTAAAATGCTTTGTAATCTGATAAAAAAGAATTAAATGAATGCATACAATAAATAAACTCAAGGTGGATTTTCTTTCTTTTTTAAAGTATTGCTAATGGCTTTTGCTTTTTTTTTTCTTCAGGTTTTTGTTAAATGGGTAGAGATTTTAGTTCTCTGATGAAAGGATTATCTGAATAAAACTGATTGAACCTGAGGCCGAGGAGTTTGGAACACTGGATCATGACTTGTATAAATCTATATAAATCAATTTCTGTGCCAGGGAATGAATAGCCAACTTCATTCAAATGCCAATTCAGCAATTACAAAGTCTGCTGGCAGTTAATTAAAAACTACCATCTCATTATATTCAGAGGTAAATTACAAGTGTGAAAAACACTACTGTTCAGAATAACTTACTGTCCTATACTTTCTTTAGAAGGTCAGAAATAAATAACTTTCATTCAACTAACTGAAATTTCTTTCTCTTTCATGTTTAATTAGTTTCTTATGTCTCTTTTCAAAGCTTGAATCTTACTTGAGGTCTTTAGGCAGTTATGGAAATATTGAGGTGTTAGTAATTTAGATAATTTCTGAGGAAGATCTTTCTTATTCTAATTTGTTAGAAAAGTTAGAAGTAATTGAATAATATAATATTGGAAAGAGTGTCACTTCAAGCTCTTTGTCATTGTCAGCTGATAGGTTTTGTAATAGAAGTAGCAAAGATAAGATGATTTTAGTGTATCTTTGTAAACAGTGATTGGCCACTCCCTCATGGTGAGTAATAATTTTTTTATAGTAAGACAGAAAGAATGGCCATTTCATTTGCTGCCTATATTCTTGTTGGGGTAGGATAGACAAATTAAACATGCTTGTGGGTTGATAAATTTTTGGTACTTATTTGTAAGACTCTCTTACTTAATTGAATGTTTTATTATTTCAAAGGTTCAATGGCTAAAGAAGAAGATGAAATTCCCATTAGCATGGAGGATATTAAAAATCTGACAGACAGTGAATTGCAGGAACAGCTTATGAACCATGGATATAATTCGGGGACAATAATACGTATGCATACAATAAACAAAAACAGAAATTAGGCACTAGTGAAAAGTTTTATGTCAGAGAGGGAGATTTAATTTCTTCAATAACAGAATCAATATACAGAAAAGGATTATATAGCTATGGGACCAATTGCATTTAAAAATATATATATATATATATATATATATATATATATATATATAACATGATATAAGAAACTGAATCAAAAAATTTTATTATCTAATATTTCATTAGATAGTAAAACTTGTTTTAATAATTTCAGTAAATCAATCAATAAATATTTAATTAGTGCCTACTATGTGCGAGATACAGCTAAGCTCTAGAGATACAAAAAGAGGCAAAAGACAGTTCCTGCCCTCAAGGAGCTTACACTGTAATGAGGGAGACAATATACAAACAAATATATACAAAGCAAGCTATATACAGGATAAATAGGAAATAATTAACAGAGGGAAGGCACTAGAATTAATAGGGGATAGGGAAGGCTTCCTGTAAGACGGGATTTTAGTAAGAACTTAAAGGAAGCCAGACAAGTCAGTCTGAGCAGAGGAGTATTCCAGGCATTAGGAACAGCCAGAGAAATTCCTGAAGCCAAGAAATAGAGTGAGTGGGACAGCCAGGAGGCCAGTGTCCCTTGAATGAAGAGTATATGTTGGGTAGTAAAGTGTAAGAAGACTGGAAAGGTAGGAAGGGGATATAGTTTATATTTGGCTTTGAAAGTCAAACAGAACATTTTGTATTTGCTCCTGTAGGCAGTAGGGAACCACTGTAGTTTATTGAGTAGAGGAGTAACATGATTGGACTTGTGCTTTAGGAAAATCACTTTAGTGGCTGAATGGAGGATGGATTGGCGTGGGGGGAGACTTGAGGCAGGCAGACTATGAGATAGTAAGGAATCGAGGATGACTCCTGGGTTGGGAGCCTAAAGGACTGGGAGGATGGTGTTGCCCTCTGCAGTAGTAGGGAAGGTAGGAGGTAGAGGAAGGTTTCGAGGGAAAGATAATGAGTTCTGTTTTGGATATGTTGAGTTTTAGATGTCTACTGGACTTCCAGTTCAAAATACCTGCAGGGCAGCTGGAGATCCAAGATAAGAGATCAGCAGACTGGGGCAGGATAGGTAGATTTGAGAATCATCTACATAGTGATGGTGATTAAATCCATGTGAATTGATGAGATCACCAAGTGAGGTAGTATAGAGGGAGAAGAGAAGGCGGCCCAGGACAGGATCTTGTGGGACACCTACTGTTAAAGTGTATGATCTGGAAGACAGGGGAGGATTGGTCAGATAGGTAGGAGGAGAACCAGGAGAGAATTGCTATCCCAGAAACCTAGAGAGAAGAGAGAGTATCAAGGAGGAGAGAGTGGTCAGCAGTGTCAGAGGCTGCAGAGAAGTCAAGGAGAATGAGGATTGAGAAAAGGCTAATGGATTTAGCAGGTAAGAGATCATTAGTAACTTTGGAGGGAGCAGTTTCAGTGGAATGATAAAGTTAGAAGTCAGATTGTAATAAGAAGAGAGTGAGAGGAGAGAAAATGGAGGCACCTGCTGGAGATGGTCTTTTTGAGGAGTTTAGCTACAAAGGGCAGAATAGATAGAGAACAATGATGGGGTTGGAAGGGTCAAGTGAGGGTTTTTTCAGGGTAAAGGGAGACTAGGGCATGTTTGTAGGAGTAGAGAATGAACTAGTAGACAGGAAGGAATTGAAAATAAGTGAGAGAGTAGGAATGACAGAAGGGACAATGTGTTGGAAGTGATGGGATGGAACGGGATGACTTGAACAAGTAGAGCGGTTATCCTTGGTAAGAAGTAAGGATTCATCATGTGAGACAGGGATGAAAAAGGATACAGTGGCAGAAGGCACTTGAGTGATGGGGTGAAGGAAGAGGGGTGAAGAGGGAACTCATGATGAATGGGCTCTTTTTTTCTGTAAAATATGAAGCAAGGTTCTCAGCTGAGAGTGTGACAAAAGGGGGAAGCCATGGAAGGTTTGAGGAGGTTTGAAAAGGTTTAGAAGAGCTGCTGTGGCCAGTGGGATAGTAAGTTGATAAGGGATAACTTAAACTCTTCTCAATTTTCTCAGCTTCCACCAGACGGGTTTATGAGGATAAACTGCTACAGTTATTGACCACTTCAAACCCATCCACAGAGCGTAAGGTTAAGAAGAAAACTAAAGAGCCACCTCAGCATCTGGAAGGAGAGGAAGAGGAAGGTACTATGGTTAATCCAAAATTCATATGGCTAAAAACTCTTGTGTTTAATGGATTTGTCCAGAGCAGTTCATATATCTTAAAATGTTATGCAAACGGAGCTCCTAAATACCATTTTTTTTCCTGCCAGTTTTCACTTAGGTCCTCCAACAGGTCATGAAACTCAGGGACCATTTGTTGTTCAAGGATTTGGTCCTACAAGGGAGAATTATGCAACTGTAACCACTTGACAGCATTCAAATACCTGAAAAAAGTTTTTTATTTGCTTATAAACTGCATATCATCCTAATAATAATACCAAAATTGGTAATTGATTCCTAAAGTCAAAATCTATTACAGGAAAATTTTAGAGTCCTTTAAGATATCCAGATTATCTGATAAAAAGCACATAAGAGAGCCAGATGAATTCAATTTACCTTCCTTTATCTAGACTCTCATACATGTTGTCTCACTGTCCCAAACAAGAGCTGCTAGGTAGTCTTTTTGGGAATCCTGGAATTTGGGGATTATGGACACTCTTTGGAATTCCTTGATGTACACTTATAATGGCACACCCCTTCAGAAGCTCCAGAGTTCCCTGGTAGAACCCCCCAGTTTCAAAGTCCTTAGCAGATAAATCCAGGGGTCCCAAAGCATACCTTTCAAAGAAATCAAAATTAGGAGCTATGATAGGCAAATGTGTGGGAAGAGAGGATCACACAAAATTCCTTATTTCTTTCTAGTTTAGCAAATAATGAGAATGCTTTGAGCTACCTTAAGGTCTACTGTTCTCTTCTGTCTCAGGTTGTGGCACTGGGTGCTAGAAAATCCCCTAAATTACATGTAACACATGGTTGTCCTTCCCACCTCCAACAAGTGCGATTAATGTGAGATACTTCAGTTGTCCTATGATGGCAAAGGGTTTGGTGTTTTGTCACAGTCCTGGCATTTTTTGGAAACCTTAAAGTGCTATATAAATGTTACCTATTATTATTCATAAAAATACCTCAGGAAAATGACAGCCCCTCTAACAACTTTCCACAACAGATAATGGGACCTCAAAATTTCCATTTCCTGCAGATAGCAGCCCAAGCAAGCTACTTGTTATCAATGACCATTAGGCAACTGTTCTCCTGTAAAGAGAAGCTGTATAGATAATCAATCAGTTTGGCATAGTACCTAAGAGAGAGCAGTGATGGGCTTTTGGGACCCCTTCCCCACCAGCAGGCACAGGAAAGCTTGTATTTGTTGCTCCATGGCAATCAGTGAAAAGAATAAACTATAACTAGGACCATTGACCCTTTAAAAAATAATAGCAATCTCATTTTTTTAAACTTATGTGTGAAGAAATTGGATTTGGTAATTAATGTCCCATTCCTTTGATAGCTTTCATGTTCTCATCTCAATTTTCATTGTATTTCCTATGATTTAGAGGATGTTGATGTCGTTTTGGAAAAAAAGATCAAAATCTCACCAAGAAAAACTAAACGACCCAAAAAAGTATGTAGCTTCCCGATGTATGAATATTTTACAAATAATTAAGAATGATTAATTACAAGTCATTTTACAAATGATCAGGAAGAAAAATTATGTGTTAAAAATGCTGTTTTGATGTAGAGTTCTGTTATACAAAGCTATTTCCATGCTCTGGCAGAATATTCATAGTGAAAGTGCCATTCTTATTGTATTTAAATAAACTCTAAGCTGGGTTTGGTGGTGCCTGCCTGCTACCAGGAGGCTAAGGCTGGTGAATCTCTTCAGCTCAGGAGTACAGAGCTGCAGTGGGCTAGGCAGATCCTAGCCCACTAGTACTGTGCTAAGTCCAATATGAGTGTGGTGTAACCACCTCCCTGGAGCAGGTCAGAGCACCTATGCTCACCAGTAGTAGGATTGGCCTGGAAATGGTCGTTGCATGTCCAGCCTGCAAGAGTTAAAGAGACCCAGTCTCTTTCCCCACCCAAAATTTATTAAGCAAACTCCTATAGAACAAATGTAGTCACAAGTTCATATCTATAGAGCAGTCATGCTGTTTAATGGAAATGTTTGGGTTCACCATTCAGCTTTTCCACTTAAACTATACTTGCAAAGGTTTCAGGTGACTGCGGATTCAAGGGAGATGGAGGCAAGTAGCAGGCAAATGAAGAGGAGAGATGGAGCTAGATAGAAGGTAGTAGGACAGCAAAGGGGCGAGTAGATTCATGAAAAGCAGAATAAAAGGGCAGGCATTTAGCAAATCTAGAAAATATAAAATGTGGCAGTGGAGAGAAGGAAGTTCAAGAGATTGGAATATTAGAAGTCACAAATATAGATAGAACTGCATTTATCCTTCCAGCTACTACTGCGTTCACTTATTCCTGATTCTCCATAAGCCAGAGACTCTGAGCTCCATATCCTAAAGAATCCATACAAACTTACTAATGTCCCCCTGCCAAAAAAAGTTGTCATTGTTCCCAATGGTTTTATGTGTCACCTAAAGTAGTTCTTCAGCATTGCAGAGGATCTGTGATTTCGTCAGTGTGAGCATTCTCTATACCAGTGCTGATCACAGCCTTTTCATGCTTGGGTATTCTTCCTGATTTGCTATAACTGGAAAAATTTACCTGATGGTCAGTCTTCTGGGGACTAGTATCTCTTCTAGCCTGCCTCAAATGCTGGTCCTTTGCCAAGTTCGTACCAGAGATCCTTCCAGCTTGATATAAGACTTTCCAGAACCTACATCTGCTGGCATAACTTTTGAAAAACAGATCACCTCCATACCACCATGAGGCACCAAAATGGAATTTTAATGGAAGTTACAACTACTTTCTTTCTTTTTTAAAAAACTACTTAACCACAATCTTAGAGATGGAAGAGATTTCAGATTCAACCCTTACTCAAATCATAAATATTCTCTATAACATCCCTAGCCTTGAGAGCTAGAAAACCTCTAGTGTTGTGGATTATGTCATCTTTTGATGAAACTCATTCCATTTTGGGACATATATAATTGTTAGGGTATTTTCCCTGATGTTTTACTGAAATCTATCCTGTAGCTTCCACCCTTTGGGCCTAATTCTGTATTCTGAAGCCAAGTAGAATTCAGTTCAACATTTTTAAAATACCTACCATATATATGGAACTGGAATATATAGAGTAAGTAATCTCTTCTATGTGCCAGCCCTTTGAATATTTAAGATCTTGAGTTTTTGCTTCTCCAAACCAAACATCCCCAGTTCTTTCACCTTGTCCTCTTTGGCATGGTTTCTAGGTGCCCCCCCACTTCCCACGACCCCCATCCTGGCTGCCCTTCTCTGGAGAGGCTATAGTTTATTAGTGGCCTTTACTAAAAGCCCCCCTCCCCCACCCTGAACCAAACATAATATTATTATTTGTTTTTAGGCAATTGGGGGTATGACTTGCCCAGGGTCACACAGCTAGTAAGTGTCAAGTGTTTGGTCTGAGGCCGTATTTGAACTCAGGTACTCCTGACTTCAGGGCCGGTGCTCTATCCACTGCACCACCTAGCTGCCCCAACCAAACTTAATATTCCAGATGATCAGGGTACAGTTCCCATTCTGGACATTATATACTTATGTTAATGTAGTTATAAGTCATGTTAGTTTGGGGTCCACATCATATTTCCAGTTTAAGCTCGCAAGCCTTTTAAAAAATATTAATTATCTAACTACATCTACCCTACTCAATACTTGGGCAGTTGGTTTTTTTAAACCAAGTGGAAAACTAAATTTTATCCCTTTTAAATTTCATGCTGTTAGCTTTAGCCCACCATTCTTTGCTGCCAAGATGTTTTTGGACTATTTGTTTTATCCAGTGTATTAGTAGCCACTCCTGGCTTTATATCACTCACACACTTAATAAATATGTCATCTCTGGCTTTTTTCAAACAATGGACAATACTTTCTGTACATTATAATAATAGGTTCATATTTAAACATAATTCAGACTTTTTGAAATAATTCTGATATCTTAATAAATTAATTTAAAAGATATTTTACCAATGATTTGAAGGGGCTCATTAAACATTTTTTTTCTGTTTATTTAGTCCCTGTTCTGCTTTTCAGAAAATATTTTTCATATAATTCATCTAAAGATATTTGCAGGAGAAACTGGCAATCTATTGTAAAAATATGTCAGGTGACAAAGATGCCTTTCATCTTTCAATTTAAATATCTTTTGAATAATCTATTTAAATCAGTAATCTAAAGAAGAAGGCAACCTGAAAGGTATGATTGGTTAACAGGTTTTGAATCCAAAGGTCTTATATAAGCCATTCTGATTTAATCAAGGACCTTCAGGCTTGAGAAGAGATGGGAAAAAGCACCTCACTCTTCTTTGCAGAAGTGGAGGAATGTGGGTGTAGAACATTGCAGATACTGTCAGATTCTGTTGGCGTGTAACATATTTTTTCTGAACTACAGTTGTCTTCTCTTTGTTGTAAGACGTGGCTCTCTGGATAAGGAGGGATACATTCAGAAATGAAGGTTATGTGAAAAATAATATAGCAACACATTTAAAAAAATTATAAGGGACCTTAAGATATGTTAAACTTTAAATTCAAAAGTAGCTACCACTTACTCTAAGGTGTTATTTTAAAAGTGATAGACAAATGCATTTATTAATATACTTATCTAATGCTATATACTTCAACTTCTCAAAAAAATCTCACTTAATCCATCCATCCACACTAGCTATTGTCCAGTATCTAGCCTCTTTTTTGTGGCTAACCTCCTAGAGAAGGCCTTCTAACAATCAATGCCTACACTTCCTTTCCTCATACTCTTTTTTTAACTCTCTACAATCTAGCTTCTGACCTCATCATTCCACCCAAACTGTTTGCTCCAAAGTTACCAATGATCTCTTAACTGCCAAATCCAATCATCTTTTCTCAGTCCTCATTTTCTTGACCTCTTTGTAGGCTTTAACTCCGTCAGTCATGCCCTTCTTGATGCTGTCTTCTCTCTAGGTTTCCATGATGCTGCTCTATCCTGGTTCTGCTATGTGTCTGACCATTCCTCTGTCTCCTTAGCTGGATCTTCATCTAGATCTTCCCATTAATCATGGGCGCCCTATGTGCTGTGTCCTGGGCCCTCTTCTCTTCTCCCTTTGTACTATTTCTCTTGGTGATCTCATCAGACCCTATGGATTCAACTGTCATCTCTATGCTGATGATTCTCAAATCTACTTATCCAGATCTGACCTCTCTGCTAATCTCCACTCTTATATCTCCGGCTGCTTATTAGATGTCTTGAATTGGATATTATGTAGACATCTTAGACTCAGCAGATCCAGAACTGAATTCATAATCTTTCCTTCAAAACCCTCCCCACTTCCAGATTTCCCTATTACTATCGAAGGTAATGCTATTCTCTCAGTTACCCAGGCTCACAGCCTCATCTTCAGCTCTGCACTTTCTCTCACTTCTATATCCAGTCTATTACCAAGGCCTATCAGTTTTATCTTTGCAACATGTCTCATGTACTTAGCCCTGTTCTCTCCTCTGATACTGTCGACACCCAGGTTTGGGCCTTTATCACCTAGTGCCAGGACTGTTGCAGTAGCCTCCTGGTTAGTCTGCCTGCCACAAGTCTCTCCCCACACCAGTCTATGCTCCTTTCAGCAATAAAGTTGATGTTCCTAAATTCCAGTCTCCCTTCAAGTAAACTCCCATTCAGTAAACTCTGTTGGCTCCCTATGACCTCCAAGATCAAATAAAAAATCGTATTTGGCATCCAAAGTCCTTCATAATCTGCCCCTCTCCTACCTTTCCTGTCTTCTTTTAACCTATTCATGCCCAGGTACCCTCTGTTCAAGTTTCACTGGCTCTTTGTTCTTTGTTGAACCACACACTCCAACTCCTGATTTCATGCCTTTTTACTGACTGTCCTCCAAGCCTGGAATGCTCTCCCTCCTCATCTCTGCTTCCTGGCTTCCCTGTCTTCCTTCAAGTCTCAGCTGACCTCACCTTCTGCAGGAAGCCATTTCTGATCTGCCTTAATGCTAGTGCCATCTCTGTGCTGATTAGTCTTCTATTTATCCTGTCTGTAGCTTCTTTGTACCTAGTTTGCGTGTTGCGTGTTGTCTCCCCCATTAGACTGTGAGCTCTTTAAGAGCAGACTCTTGCTTTTTTTCTGTTGCCCCAGTTCTTAGCACACAGTACCTGACACATAGTAGGTGTTTACTAAATGCTTACTGAGTGAGAAATGGAATAATACTTAATAGTACCTAGAGAAGTATTTGCATTTCTCTGATCAGGGCACCAGTGAACATTATTTTCTTATTTCAGTAATTATATAATGGAATTGAAATGACTTTGAGATTAGGATCATGTCTGTAAATGTCCACTGAGTCAGAGAGACAGCAGCATCTACTGCTTGAAATGCCAACCCTGGGAAATTTATGGTGTAATTAATGCACATTGACTGCTGCATCAGCTATGCTCAAAGACCAAGGAAGGTGGGTTGGGTCCTTGAGTGACAAGTTATCTCCTCCATCCAGGCTGG